TCTTTATGTTGTGCCCAATGCTCATTGCTGATTAGTACTAGTAGTAGCAAATTGATTTCTTTGAAAAGATAGATATCTTTGGATCTGATTGTGAACAACAAACAAATGGGTTTTTTTTTTTTTTTTATGAATCTTCTGAATTTAATCGTAGTTTGTACTCTTTCTAGTGTTCTTGAGATCTTAGATTTTGATGGTTTGAGGTTCTTATGTTGCCGTGGTTTGCCGTGGTTTATGAGTATCTTTTCTACACTGAATAGTGAATAGGCTTAATTTTAACTCTGGGAAAATTAAGTGAAATAACTCAGAAAACTAACACTCCACTCAATGGCAAGTGTTATTCGGTATTGCTACCCCAAGGAAAAGAATGTTCCTTCCAAGTTCCAATTAAGAATCCAAAAACAGAAATCTCAAGGCAAGAGGGCAAGGGCAACACCAAACCTGGGAGTCTTGTCCAAGGCCTTGGTGTCGAATTCACTTGAAATGGTCAAAACCGATTTTGCAATCACCGTATGCTGCAATACAGCTCCGAGTCTTCCATGGTTGTTGAGCTTCAGTTTCACATTTGTAAGGTGATCAACAGCACACGAGCCACCAACTGTGAATGTGTTCTCGTTGGAGGAGAGCTTTCTACTGATCTCTCCCACAGCAGCGGTCTTCTTCTTCGCATCCAGATGGTGCATAAATGATGCCATTATTGTATCACCCTTGTCACTCCTTTAGTAAGAGCGCACTGAATGTTAGAAACCGAATCTTTCTTTTCCAGAACTGACGCAATTGATGGCTTAGTTATGGACTTACAAGATTATTGCAGCACAAGAATGCGGTCTTGTGAGACTGATGCCAGCAGTATACTTTGTTAATTTACCTGAAGCAGTTTCATAGCTTGCCTCAGCACCCAAAGCAAAGGTTGGAGTGCCAAGGGTGACTGAAAGATCAACTATGGGTGAGTGTTTAAGAGCCACTACTGTACTCAAGGTTGCATGATGGTGGAAATACTGAACCTCCAGCTGCATAAGACAAAACAAAGAACAAGGGCCTTAGTTTACTGGTTTGAAAGAAGGAGAAAACAAAGAGCAAGGCTTCATAACTGAGCTTTTTCACCTTGCCAGTATTGTAATCAGGAAACTTCAGAGAGGCAATGGTCTTTGTTGATGGAACAATGTCGGTGAACGTCAAAGTTGTTGAAATCTGCAACAAAAGAATGGATGAGGAAAAAGTTTCACGAAAACAAACACATTTCTTAAATTAAATAATAACAATGCCTTGGTCACCCACATTTGATTCTGTATCAACTTTGGCATCAGCCAAAATGTTCATATATTTGTATTGCACTGATACATCTCCAGTTGAACGTGGTCCTTTCTTCACTGCAGTAGATGTAAGGGCCTAAATTACAAACGAGGAGTGTGAACCAATGCTCTTGCATATCTGACACTAGAATAGATAATGAGATGACTTGATCTTGTAGCATAAAAATTTGCAAGCGTCTCAAAGCACTGATGAAGAATAAATACTTATTTCGTTCTCAAATTACCCAGGCAAATAAAAAGAAGATATAGGAATTAAGTTAAAATGAGAATGATTTACTCATTCTCTGGTATGGTACATTATAATCTACATGGTCAAAGCAATTCATTAGTTCCAAGAGTATTTAAAGAATATATGGCTTCTGGTAAAGGTTCTTCAAGCAAAATGAGCTACAGATTTGGTCATTTTATCAATTTATTCTAGTGCTTGCTCATTCTTTGCAGCCTCCTAAAAGTGCCTTCCTTCACAAATCACAATGACTAGACAGTAATATACAGAACTTATTCTTAGCAGCCTCCTAAAAGTGCTGTCCTTCACAATGACTAGACACTAATATACAGAACTTATGTGGACACGCTTATACATTTTACGATTGATGGCTTCCAACCTTCTGTATCGCCACTAAGTCCATACCATTCCTAACATCATAGTTTGAAAATGTGTTATCCTACTCTTGTAGGAAAGAACCAAATGATCTTTTGTTTAGCATTGAAGTCAAAAAAAAATCTCGGGAGCTTCATCTAAAAGTACCTTCAAATAATATTATCAATAAATCTAAACAAGTCTTGAATGTCCACAGAGGATATAAATACCACTAATATAATGCAACACATTGAAAATTTGAAATGGATGTGCACACACATTAGCAGGGAAAAGAAAAACAACAATGGCATTATATTCCTTAAGACCATACGTGTAAATTCACCCCTTAAAAGGAAGAAATGAGCTATGCATTAACCAATATAGCTAAATCCAGACTCCATTATCAAATCAAAGCATATATGCATTTAAAGCTTCTAAGTAAAGTCTAAAGCAATAGTATCCAAAACCTAACCACTATAATTCAAAAATTGGAAACAAAAACTACAACTAGAGCGAAAAAAAATCCAGAACGGAAACGTAAAGGAATCATACCACTCCGGTGTCACTGTAAGTCGACACAGATAACTTGTGATCGGAGATATATCCCCTGGTTAGCAGATCTACATGTATTATGTATAGAATACGAAAACCGCAATCAAATTACAGAAAGCGTGCGCATATAAATACGACGTATAAGAAAAGTGGATTGAGAGCAATTTACCTTTGGCCTTTTTGCCAATATCAGAGAAGAGACCGGGCCCCGGACTCATTTTCCGATGTCAATTGCGGATGCACAGAGAGAGAAAGAGAGAGAGGAGACGTGAAGCGATTGGGCGATGTCGAACTGTGATACTGGAATTGATCGATGAAGCAGAAGAGAAATTCGCCTTAATTCACTTTGTTTTTTTAAATAGTGACCACGAATCGGAGAAGAGCCAGGAACATGACTGAAGTGCTTGTTTGGCTTTTGGAAATTATTACATTATTATTATTATTTTACTCCGTATAAAATATAAAATTCTAATAAGTTTATATAAAAAAATAGTATCCAACTACTATGTAATGTGATCAGTGTTATCATTCAAAATGGGTGAGTGTTTAAAAAAATAGTAAATAATGAATTAATCTTTCTTCTTGAGCTGGTTGAAGGGTACAAGTATGGGATCGGAGGTGTGGATGTGAAAACGGACAGTCGAATTGTTTTTAATGTTATTAGATTGCCATCTTTTAATTCTGCCTTTGGTTTCATAGTTGATGATGTTAAGAATTTAGCAGTGGAAATTGATGATGTTAAATTCTGTTGTGTTAAGCGATCTGCGAATTGCGTCACCCACTCTGCTGCTAGGGAGGCCTTTTCTGAGTCATGTTGCGGGGGTGATTAGATTCTCCTCCATCTTTCCTTGTAAACGTTCTTACTTGTGATTTAATGAATTAACCTTTCAACTTCTTCTTCTTCAAAAAAAAAAATAGTAAATAATTAATATTTATATAAAAATATTTACGAATACATTTTTATATTTAATTTTCCTCACACGTTCTGTGTACTGTGTTTTTTTTGTAGTATCTGTTCATATACTTTCTCACAAAGAGCCAATCACGCCTCCACTGAGGCTCGAATTCACAACCTTCCAAATGGAAGTCCAACCCGGATACCATTAGACCACATAGTCCTGGTACTGTGTTTTTATTTATTTATTTATTTATTTATTTTTGTCTTCTGTTTATGTACAATCTAAATTTCTAGGAGATATCTATAGACATAAAAAGAATACGACAAATAATATTTTTGATAGATATCTTTTATAATTCTCAATTATCAATTTAATTGAAATTATTTAGTCGATTTATGCAATTGACAAAAATAAATTTGAAATGTCTGAAATATAATCTCTTTGAATATTCAATCAAAATGTATCCCCTTTTCTCCATGGTTTTTTTTTGACAGTTTAAACTAGATTAATTTGGTAAATTGAAAATTTTGGAGCTTGTTATTGCATTGCCAAACTTGATTGTTATTTCTTGTTGGACTATCTCATTATCTAGTCATTATTATTATTATTATTTTCAAAATTTAAGTGTTGTGTATAAAAGTTTGCTGCAACAACAAAATAAAAAAAAAAAAAAAATAGAGGAAGGTAGATGATGTCTCTTCACCATTAGTTGTCATTATATTGTTACTAAAACACACATCTCATTGCCAATATTCTTTCAAGAGAGTTAATACCATTGATGTCATTCGACTATACTGATTTTGTCACGTTTAGTTCTAAATTTTTTAATTGACCATCATTGTTCCTTTGACTTTCAAATCATTATCATCCGCAGTTCAAGTTTACAACGTAACTCACAGTCCTTCACCTATCAAATTTTAACCACCCATAATTCTTCCCGGAGGACCACGACTGATTAAATTTTAAAAGTTGAAGGACCATGGGTAGTAAATTTGTAGCATTGATGATAACAATTTGAAAAGCAGAAGGATGTCAATTTGAAAGTTTAGGACTAAACGTGACAAAATCACTATACTCGGAGGATCTCATATGACATTAACTCTTCGTTGAAATTATTCATAGCTTTACTCATTTCTTGTCACATAAGGGTTCTTTGATGTATACATGGGATGAAATCTTTGAGTAATTAATAAATGTTAGTCCAATTTTTAACGTGAAGTTAAGGTTCATATCCTAATAAGTATAGCATCAATAATACTCAAAGTGATAACCACACCTCCATATGCTGGCAGGTATGGAGAGGAATCACTGATACTGTAACTGATAATCAAACCTCCATATGTTGGTAGATATCATTGTATCAAAAATAAAAAAAAAAATAAAAAAAAAATCATCAATAAACGATAAAAACAGTACAGTGTAACAGTGTAAGCAAAAAGATAACATAAATATCTCCACATGAATAGACAACCTAGATGGAAGATCACCGCACATTTTTAATAATAATTTGCGATTTTACATAAACAACGGCCATTATCAACCGATCGAGCTCGAGAGATCCGACAAAGATACAGATCATTCGAATTTTTATTTTTTAATTTTTTAATTTTTTTTTTTGTTTTTTTGCGTACGTTGTTGTATACGTCGTAGCTGTTTCCTCTTTCCACGATTCTCAGCCGTTGTTGTATGCGTATATAACTCAATCATTGGTGCGTTTCTCATTCTCTCTCTCAGCGAGCCCTCTCTCTCTATTCAACCGGAATTGTTACACGAGAAATAGAGATCACATTGTTTCTGCTGTGTTAATGCTGAGAGAGAGGGGGTTTGGAGGCTTTTTATTCAAAGATTGGTTGTTTTTGAGGTAGTTTTGAAGGTCGTGTCTGGAATACCATACTGTAGAAAACATCTGATTAGTTTGCAGAGAGAAGAGATCATATATATAGAATTGAATGAAACTTTTTGATCTTCCCTTGTCCCGTATTCCTCCCAAACATCATTGGATTTAAGGTAATAATAATGCCGTCTATTTAATTTATTTCTAATGTGTTTGGTTTAACAGAAATTAAACAAATTTAATTTGCAGAAATTTTAGGATCATATCGGAAAGATGGGCAAGCTTTCGGATTTGAATCATGCGACATTTTTGCCGATTCCACCTCCCCTGCCTCATCCGTACGCAGAACAAACCTTTATTCATTATAGGAGCAGACCAACGAGGAAACACTGCCGCACCTTCTCCTCGTCGTCGAACCGCCGGATGGATCTTCTTTTCGATGAAGGATATCGAGCCGATGTCGCCATTAGCACGGATGACGGCGCTATTATCTATGCACACGCTAGTATTCTCGTAAGTTGTTTGTTTATTCATTCGATTTCTCCGGTACGCTGCTGCAGATCCTTAATTGTAATCATATATACAGGGTGTGTCTTCGCCGGTTATGAAAACGATGTTGAGAAAACCGAGACGCATGCGTGGCGATCGGATTGCAATCTCGATCCATGGAGTTCCGTCCGAGGCTGTCTCCATTTTTGTTCGCTTTTTGTATTCTTCCTGGTAATCATTCATTCTCTGTATAAATATAGGTTGAATCAAATGATAGACGATGTTTATTGAGGTTTCCGATATGATTATGGTGGATTCAGCTACGAGGAAGACAAACTGAGGGAACACATCCTTAGTTTACTGGTGCTGTCGCATTCGTACGCGATTCCTCAGCTAAAGCGCGAATGCGAACGGCTGCTGGAGGACGGAATGATGACGGTGGAGAACGTAATCGACGTGTTTCAGCTAGCGTTACTCTGCGACGCGCCCCGCCTCAGCCTTATGAGCCACCGTTTCATCCTCAGGAACATCAAGCCCGTTTCCCTCACCCAAGGCTGGATCGCCATGAGGAACAGCCACCCCGTCCTCGAAAAACATCTCGTGGAATCCGTAATCGACGAAACTTTTGTAAGTACATACTAAAACTTTAAATTTCACAATTATGTTTTGTTTTTTGCTGAAAGTTGAATTGTTTTGGTTGCAGAGGCAGAAGGAGAAGGCGAGGAAGATGGAGGAGAGGAGCAACTACCTGCAACTGTACGAGGCGATGGAGGCTCTGGTGCACATATATAAAGAAGGGTGTCGGACGATTGGTCCGCTTGATAAGAGCTTGAAGGAGGATCAGGAAACGTGCAAGTACGGCGCGTGTAAGGGGCTGGAATCGCTCATCCGCCACTTCGCCGCCTGTAAAATGAGAGTCCCCGGCGGCTGCATCCGCTGCAAGCGGATGTGGCAAGTCTTCGAGCTGCACTCTCGCCTTTGCGCTGATTCTGACAATTGTAAGGTTCCCTTGTGCAGGTATACTAATGCTACCTCATATCATTATCTAAACATATCTCATATGATTTATCTTTGAGGGTGGAGCACATGTTTGCGACTATGGTTCATGTGTTGCTTGGAACACACCCCAGACGTGAGGGACGTATTGAGCCTCGCAATCCAACTATCAGCTTAGGCTTTTAGTTGAAATGGAGCACATGTTTTAATTATCTTGGTAATGTGCATTGTTATATACATTTATTTCAGGAATTTTAAGGAGAAGATGAGGAAGCAGAATAAGAAGGATGAGATGAAGTGGAAAATACTAGTGAGAAAGATTGTAAGGTCTAAGAGCATCTCAGGAGCTCCATTTTTCTCCGTTGAATCAACATAAAACCTAAGCTTTGAGTCTTCTTCTTTGTACACTACATTGTCATCATATTTGTAACCCGCGCCTACCCATTCAAGATTAACGTAATATTTTTGATGTTGTCTTGGCATTCTCTTCATCAGCATGCCCACCCTCCATTCTAGCCTTCATCATTGTCCTAATCCTTGAAAGTTTTATCCATGACCTTTTTGTATGTCATGTTATAAAGGCTATATTATACCTTTTTGGATAAAAATATCTTTGTTATTACAATTTCGGTTATCTCTTTCATTAGTACTTCTATTACTTTAAATTGGGTTAAAGGTTTAAAACTATTATGTTTTTTTTTTTTTTTTAATTTAAAAACCAACCAATAAATGATTGTATTAATGAAGCAAAGCTGCAATCTAGTCCAGAGGGATTGAATCCCAAAACATAAATTGATCCTGAGCAAAAGTTAAAGAAGCTAAAACAAGTGCATGTGAATTAACATGCCTAGAAACATAACTTAACGAACAATAATCAAAAGAAGCCACTAACGACCTACATTGGTCTACTATGACCCCAACATACGACATTATAATCGTTGACTCCTGGCTTATAGCATTCCGAAGTTGCATGCAATTCGTGAGTAGATCCACCACCGTTATATTCCTCTCGAGCAGCCAGAATAGAGTCTCCTCACAAGTTAGGGCCTCCGCCATAAAAGGTGAGAAACAAGTTGGTAGCCTTCCATTTCGTGCCACCATAAATGATCCGTTTGGCGAGAGCACTACCACACCAAAGGTGGCCTCTCCCTTAGCCTGCCGGTAGCCAGCATCCACATAACACCTTGGCCTGCCGTGTACGCCAGCGTCTGGTGCGTGCGGTATAGGTAGCGGAGGGCGGTGATTGGCTTGTCGGAACGAGCTCAAGGCCGTGGTTGTCTTCCTCCATACGCCAGCGGGGTGAGGGAGTGCTCCTTCCCACACGGCTGAGTTGCGGCTCCGCCCGCCAGCGTCTGGTGCGTGCGGTATAGGTAGCGGAGGGCGGTGATTGGCTTGTCGGAACGAGCTCAAGGCCGTGGTTGTCTTCCTCCATACGCCAGCGGGGTGAGGGAGTGCTCCTTCCCACACGGCTGAGTTGCGGCTCCACCATAAATGGTATAGTATCGCTACCAAGACACCACTCTGTTCTTGTGTTAAAATAGCAAGTGTAGCTATTAGCCAGGCGGAGAAAGAGTACAATTAAGTACGTATTTGCAACAAACCATCTATATCTATATATAATAAGTAAAGAAAGTCTAAGACGGGTTGTCCAAAAAAAAAAAATCTACTACAGTAATCAACATTAGTGTCTATATTTGAATTGTACCCGTGCAAGAGTTACCCATATCCATTGGCTACAAATTATACTGTGGACCATGATCTATGACAGAAAGTGGTAAATATTCAATTTTAGTATATTCAATATTAATTTTAAATGTACTAATTTAGATAGTTTATAAAAGAACCTGCAATATATTAAATGTTTTTTTTTTTTTTTTTTGGTGTCGCAATATATTAAATGTAAACCTTAAAAAAATGACATCCAATATACAAGAAGAAAATGTATGTTAGTGGCTCATCTTTTGCAATGTATACCCTGGTTCAGGTATAATGATTGCCTACCAACACTTTAGAATTTTCCATAATAATTATATACTACGTATTAGATATAAAATTAACACATAAATAGATGGTGGATGGTTTGTAAACACTTCCCCTCTCTCTATTTTTTTTTTTTTTTTTTTTGAATGCTACTGGCACTATTACAACATAAAGAACCAATAACGCGCCTCTACTGAACCGAGAACTCGTAACCTTCCAAATGAAAGTGCAACCCGGGTACCATTAGACCACATAGTCTTAGTCCCCTCTCTCTCCTTAATTTTTGTCCTTTTGACTGGTAAGTTTATCTACTCTTTATCTCTCTTTTATGGAGTTATTCTGGCCATTATTATATCATGATTTTGTTTCTTCAATTTCAACTCAAACTGTGAAGGTACACATTCTCGCTGAGGCATTTTAACAGTCATTTGGCAGTCGTAGATTTCTTGGTTTTCCTTCTTAATGGGCTTACTTTATTAGCATAAAACAGGGGGAAAAATGGATGCTTTACTTTGCTTAATGCAATTTATTCCTTTTGTCATTCTCTCTTTAAACCACTGAACAGTTTTAAGATCATTATAGAAGTGAAAATGAATATCTTTCTCAACTAGCTGTTATCATGTGTTCATAAGTAAAAATATAAGGAGAAGAAAGAATTTCTTAATCTTGCAAAAACAAATTAATGTTATAGTCTTATGATGCCTAGTATTGTGCCATTTTTGTTTCTACTATGTATACAAGTGAAATAGATTGTGCTACCTAGGTTTGATTGTAGAGAAAAAAAAAAAAAAAAAAAGTCTCTTTCACTGGGATTTGTTCACTGTGCATGTCTGTGTTTAAATATGTTCAACATTTAATCCAAGGATGCTGCATCTTGTTCTTGTTTTCCTATGCTATTTGATCTCTCTGGACTCGCAAATCTTTACAGTTTCCAACATGTTATTTCATGTTGGTGCTGGAGCAGGCTGATTCAAAGCATGGGACTTTCTTTCCTTGTTCACTAGCACGAAATTTTACCCGAAAAATTCTTGAATTTGCCATCCTGCTCCTGCAGAAATTGCTGTCATCAAGCATCCATGTAAGGATTGTTTTATGCACCATTTACATGTGATTTCATCGATATACTTGCCCCGAGCTTCAATTATGTTGTTGAACATTATATTTGCTGAAAACTGGCAGTGATGTAGCTGTTGGGGTTCTAAATGGTCTTGCAGAGCCAATCACTGTTCTGTCATGCATCCTCCCAACATCTTTGCAGACATTATCCAGTATGGATAAGAAATCCCTTACGATTATGAAGATTCTGAGAGGGTGGGGTTCCTCTGATGCAGCATTGCCATGGAAATATTCTGTCACTTCCTTCACCATGGATAAGGCCTTTTTCTCCTCACCTTTAATCCTAAACATGTCTTCCTCGGATTCTTTAAGGAACAGTTTGATTGAGTCGAAGAATTTTCCCTCCATGCCTTGTTTCTCAAACTGCAAAACCAACCTAACGTTTTCTAGTCCCGTTTCGAGCCTAGACACGTAACTATGTAGGACGTCTGAGTCCATCCCTGCTGCTTTTTTCACGTTGCCAAGCTCCCGGCTTAAGCCTGCAACAACCTGCAGCTCTTTCCTCTTGAGATCGTCATCTTTGATTCTCGTATTTGTTCTGTTTTCATTGATAGGACCGGAACCCGTTCCTTCTGACCTAATAATCTCTTGGACCACAAAATGGAGCAAAGTTGTCTTCCCATCTGTTCCTTTTATGTCCACCAATTTCAAGAGAGTCTCTAGTTTGAACGCTTTGGCATCACCGCGGCTCGTGCCAACATTCATCCGGTTTCCTGTCCTTAGCACCGCTTCCAAGAGTTTGAGGAACAATCGACTGTTCTTCAATTCTTTGCTCGCATTCTGGTGAAAACAATGGAAGCCAATGACTATAGATGAATGCATTTGATCAATTGGAAATTTGGAATAGAATTGTTATTGTTATTACCTCAAGGGTTTGGAAGGAATTCCTCAAGTAGTTCACTTCTGAATCAAAATTAGCTTGGTACAACATTGCTTCCACTCTTTTGAAGGCAAATGGTACATCAAGAACTGCTTTCAGGAACCCCTCTGCAGATCCTAACTTTGAGGTGTCATTTTTGTAGGCTCTGAGCTTTATTTCTTCCTCCTTTGTTGGAGCCATCTTCACCAAAGTCTCCAGAAGCTCAGGACCCAGCCCTTCTGGATTTCCTGCAACCCCAATGCATTATGAAGTGGAAGAAATACAGGAGGACTTGGTATCTAATGTGCCAATTTTAAAGTTTGGACCTTTGTTAAACCGCACTAAAAGATTGAATTCAGTAATCTGATATTTTTTTCTCTAATTTTTTAATGTGGGATTCGGAGAGATATACAAACCATCTAGAAGTGCTTCAGAAACCTCTTCTTTTGTTACATTTTGAGCTCTCAACAGTATAGCTATGTTTTGTGACTTCTTTGGGTCCAGTATTCTATGCTCCTGCTCAACTGGAGGCAGTGCTGATTTCCTGGTGACTTCTTTGGGAGCTGAATTTGCAGAATTGCATCCAAAAAGTGACTCCATCATATCCTCATTCACTCTGCAGATACAAGTCTTTGTTAGGTACCGAACACTCAGACAGAATTGTGAATGAGTAAATTAAGGTGACTCCTATTAAGTGAAATGATCAATGTCTAGTATCCGAGTTACCTCACTAGAGGGTAAAACTCTAAAATTGTGACATTTAAGGCTTAATTTTACGTCATCGGCCCGACAATTTATCTCTCACGAACCAATTGTCCCTTGTCGGTCTGATGTGAACAGGATTAGTCTAAATATGGTACGAGCTTAAAATGTGTCTCTTAGTCTGCTCAGGACATGTCGAATAATTTTTTTACCATGACTACTTACTGGAAGGAGCTTGGTTTTAGCTGGTCCCAGACTGTGGCTCGATCAGATGGTGCTTGTACTTTGTCCCAGTGCAATGGTTTCAGCTTGGGTTTTGATCCATCCATTTCATCGGAATCACATCTTTCCGACGAGGCTGTACTTCTGTCTGTCTGCCCGGAGCCGCTTTTCTTTTCGCTCTGCGGGGTTGTTTTGGGACTGGGAGTTCTTGAATCCTGCTTTTCCGTTTGATGGCTAGCCAATGGCGGGAGATTTGTTTGGGAACCACCCAATTTCCGTGTCAGCGACAGTGGTGGCGGCGGCGGCGGCGGAGGAGGAGGAGGAGGAGGAGGAGGAGGGGGAGATGGAATTCTTGACATTTGTTTGGGTTGGCTGGTTAACAGTGGGGATGAGAATTTCGCCGTTTTGGGGACGAAAATGAAAGGTATTGCCGGTCTGTCATTGCGCACCGGCGGCTCCTGTGGAAGCGGCTGCAACGGCCGTGGAGGATCCGGCGGTTTCTTAATCGGCGGTATGATTGCCGGCCGTACATCCGGCGATGAAGCGGAAAGGCGTGATCTTGGAGAAGTTCTCCTTTTAGTCTGCTGGGAAATGGGAGTATAGAAGCCTTCTTCATTGCTGACAGATGAGCCTTGCAGCGTGTAGAACGCAGTGTCCTGGCTCTCTTCGTCGGAGGACGTCATCGCCGGCGGGGAATTTATATCGGGCGGCGGCTGCGGCTTGCTCAACGGCGGGAGTGGCTGCAGGTCAGGGCTCGGCCTATACCGATCGGATTTTAACTTCCGGTAAGGCGACCGGTTTGCCCAGTTGTTGTCACTTACCGGAGGACGCGGCTCCACCGTTCCAATGTACAGAAAAGTCGACGGCGGCGGCATTCCTGATTCCTCGTTGATTCTCCGAGAACTGCCGCCCACCAGCTTCTGGGTTTCGTCCGGGTGTTTCAGGCGGTGCTTGTAGATGTAAAACGCCAACGCAGAAAACATTCCCAGCGTGACAATCCCGACCGAAATCGCAATGGCCACTTTCTTTACCGGCCGGGATTGCTGCGGCAAAACCGGGTTCGACGACACCGATGAATGGTTGGGCTGAACCGACGCCGACGGCTGCTGTGGGCTCTGATTAGGCTTTTCCGGGAAGAACGGCGGGTCTGGGGTAGATAACGCGGGACTTTCCGGCGGAAAGAAGTCGGAGCCTTGCGGCGCCACCGCCGGAAGCAGCGGCTGATGCAAAACTCTTCTTCTATGTTTTTCTTCGCCGTTGGAACTCTGAACTGTGATCTGAGCTCCGGTGGACTCTACGACCACCAACGACGACACAACAAGAAGAAACAAATTCATGCGAAGATGATGATGAGCTCTCATTGTGCGCTTCTTGTGTTGTTCTTTCCACCTGTAAAATTCATCTATGGCTTTTGTTCTAGAAAATCCTTACCGAGGTAGAGGGAGAAAGAAGACAGCAAAAAGAAGCTTCTCTAAGCTGCAAGATCTAAATGACTTCACCATTAAGCCACCTTTGTATTCCATTTTCTCAAACTAAAACTATGTGTTTCACTTATCATAAAATATACTTTTTTTTTAATTTAATAAAAATAATTAAAATTGCAATATGAATTAATTAATCGAAAATGAAAGGATTGTGTGTATTTAACTAGACAAAGTTTTAACTATTTATAAAAGATTTTTAACATCTAACAACAATTCGCATGATTCAAATGCTTCCCGAGCAAACTAAAAGTGTTCCTATCGACCATGTTTGACTATGCATTTCACAGGCCCGTTGTCCAAGCTCACATGTTCGAGTCTGTGCCAATGTCGACCTTAAGGTCAATCTTCAATTTACCTCCAAATTCTTAGTCTTTGCCTTCAGTTTAAGCTTTCTATGATGGACTTGACTTTTTAGACTTAACTATTTAGATTGAATCTAATATAATTGTCATAATTAAAATTTTAAATTAATAACTAAAAATAAAAATGTTATTACCAAAAATTAAATAATTTCACTTGGCATATCTGTACATTCCAACTGGATTGTAATAGAATCGAACTTTGGTGGTGGGAGCATTGATTTTTTGTGTTAAAAAATAAAAAAAAGTATAATAAAGATACTACTATCTTGTAAAGAATTATGTGTGTTTTTTTTAAAAAATAAAAGTAAAAATATTATTATCAAAAATAAATAATTTCTTTTTATTCTCATCCGGCTGGGGAGTGGGAAGTATGTAAATTTCCAGACTCCATAGTCCATCCTGTAAAGCGTCAAGTCAATGATAAAAGGAACACGTTTAAGTACTTTTTGTCCAAAATATCTTATTTAAATTTTTTTAAAAAATGTTTCTTAATATGCTTTATTTTTGCACCGTAACCGAGGCGGAACGGTGGGAGACATGCTTCTAGCCTTGGCTTATTATTGTCGTTAAATAGTTCGTCAACTCTAACCAACGTTTTTCTAAAATGTTTTATTTTCTTTATTCTCACTTGCTTAATAGTTAATAGGATGGGATTGATAAAATTTACTCGGTATTTTTTACTTCTCTTACAATAGTAAGCTTTTTTTTTTTTTTTTTTTTTAAATCGTTAATTTTAAAATGTAAAAGTAACTACATTTTTGAAGGCTAAAACAATTAGCTTTGAAGGTAAATTAGGTGTTTATAACTTGTAAGTAACAAGTATAAATGTTTAAAAACGGAATTAAGGTAAAATATGTAAAATTAGTAATATTTATATTAAGGTATTTTTCGATATATTCAAGAGCTTTTAGACATAAATATTAAATCAATAATACTGAGATGACGTATTTATCTATCGTTTTATAATATGTTCAATAGCATTTAATATTGTTAGCATGTGCATACCATGGCATAGATTCAACCATAATCATAGAATCAAGCAAAGTGTGAGTTTAACTGTGGTATGGACTCAACTAGGCACAAGGTTGGCCTTGCATAGAGTCGAGACTCTATATAGATCGAGTTTGAACTCAGACACAATTACTCCAGTTCGATCACTAACTTCACAATTCAGGAGCAAGAGAGCTAGCTAGTAATAATGGGTTAATTGGCAAAGATCCTAACACATTCAGTTCAATTATGGAGTTGGTTGATACATTGAATTAGCCTGCAGAGTTTTATTTGGAATGCAGACCGATAAGTATATGCTTGTTGTCAAGAAAGTTACCGATCATGTATAGTGATTATGTATAAACCAAGTGATCGAGTGACATTTACAAATAATCCTAAGCCCGTAAGACTTAGAATTAGTGGCCAAGTGACATTTACAAATAACTGTCGTGATCATGTATAAATAACGTGAGTGTCGTACTATATTGACACACAACCTGCTTATCTTGAATCTGATCGAATACTAAAGAATATAATTCATTTGCTCAATGCAAATACTATTCTTACGATTACTTCCTTACCTACCAAATTTTATTTATTATTTTCAGTGTTAATTAGCATTAACTAACATTGCCACCATCACACTAAGATTGCCAAGTTTGAATTTCTGTATGAACTAAATCTACCAATATTATTTGATTGAGTCATACCAAAACCTAATATTCATCACAATACTAAATCATACTAAAATTAGAGATGCATGAACTAAATCTACCAATATTAAAGAATCTTAGAACTCATTTTTATTAGAATTTAAAATTAGAGAGGAGATGGGAATCCTAGACCAGTTGTCCCACTCAAAAAGTATGTCTACAATTCAACGAAAGAATTAATTATTGTGTCCGACAGTAGGAATCTGGGTACACCCGAAAAAGAAAAAGAAAAAAAAAAGATTGGTATTGGGAGTGGTTGGAAAGAAGGCATGGAGAATGCACACCCATCTCATCTTCTAAAGGCAGGCAGGCCATTTATAATGGCAACTACACATACATCTCACCAATTATTATCATTTCTCAAAATTATAATTTTTTCCCCTCTGTTGTCATCATAATTACTTTCACAAGGAAATCAGTGCTCTTTATAATTACGCCAAATTATTATTGTTTTTCTCATCATTAGTGTAACATGATCATTGTTAATCATCTTTAGCTTATCTTCTTATATTATACATCTTCAAATCCAATTGCTTATTTACACTGCTCGAGATACATAAAACAATACTTTAATTTACTACTTTAGTTGAATGGTAAAATAATAAAATTAAAGAGATTTTTTAGTTACGTTGGTAAGTGTTTTATTGTTCATATTTTCACCTCTTATTTAAATCATTTTATTCGTGAATTTTTTCAAACTTCATGTGTATTATGGCTTATGTGTGTTATTTTGCTTCTAGGAACACTTATCTATCAGAAGTAATGAGTTGGAAAGCTTTGGATGCAAAAAAGAGCAATTCAATAGCAAATTTGGAAGTAAAGTAGACAAAAGAGTATGGGAGCCAATATGAAGCTAAGGAGATGACTAAAATACTTTCAAGAGAGCCAAAAAAAATGGTGTTTTCAATATTTTTGATCATTTGGACAAACAAAGGTAAAAGTAGGGCAAAATATCAAAAAGTTGAAATTCTTGCACGGCATGATCACTGCTCAGTATTTTGACCATATCTAAGTATAGACTTGTCTAAATCAAGTGATTCTTGCACCATTGAAAAGAAAATTCAAAGGCTACAACTTTCATGAAGACCATCAAACCTAATTTTGATGTTAAAATCGTCAAAGAAACCAACGAAGTCATTTTGCCAAAATGCACATGGGTGGCTACACGAATGCATACACGCCCATGTCTTAGCATGGGCACCACAACTCTCCAAAGTAATTTTCTTACTATTTTTCACACAAGCGCCTACACGCCCATGTCCCATATCGTGTAACTATCCCTTGTTCACTATTTAAGCTTGTTTTCACCCATTTCTACTCCGGTTTGACCCTAGACAAACCCTAGTTTATATCTTTCACTTCTTTTTGTGTTTTTAGGTTAGGTTATGCTTAGATTTATGTTCTACAACATTTTGGACGCTTTTAATCATGGATTTGAAGCTAGGATTTTAAGAATCTCTCATTTTCAATAGATAAGTTCTCATTTTTTTTATCTCATTCCTTTGCAATATTTATGTTTATTACTTGTGTTGTTGCTATGTTATGCTTAATATGTGTGAGTAATTAGTTTAGGGGCTTGGGTTAGGGTTGTATTATCTATTTAGATGCTTTATTTGTGATTATTGCGTAAAGGTAGATATGCCTAACCTAGGGTTCTCTAAGATTATGAAGGAATATTAATGTTTGATTGGCCACATTCATTAGCATGTTTTTGGTGGATTCTTGGCCACAATGCGAGTTGGGTCAAGATTCTAAGACACTCCTTGCATAATCCCTATTTTCCACCATGAAAATAGGAGAAATTGGGGGATTTAGATGCGTCATGAGAGTGAGAAATTCCTAGTCTTAATTCTTGTTTAGATGATCACGAGAGTGGTTTTTAGACTAGAATTGCTATTTGCATCCTATCAATTCCCCGGTTATGTGTTATCCCCTAATCCTATAGGTTTGATTGCATCTAGTAGATTTTTCTCTATGACTTGAGCCCTATTTCTTTTATTTCGTGATAATCTCTTGTTTATATGTGTTTGTTCTATTTTGTCTATGTCTGCTTAGCTTCTTGTTAATTTCCCAAAGCTAGTGACTAGTTACTTGTTATTGCATATTACGTATCATAATTCCCAATCTCGAGAGAACGACAAACTTCTTATGCTTCCTTAACTACATCTTGTGTTTTTTTATTAGAAACAATTGTGTATGTTACTTGGGTCACACATGAATACTTGATACTTCAATACTAGCTTATTCATACTGAATAGTGCTCGCATTCAAAAAAAATACTGAATAGTGCTCGATGCAACTAAACATAACTATGTGTTTGTATTTGGTATAAAATTAAAGATACTTGTGTTGACCTTAAAATTAAAATATGATTAGTATTTTCCCCGTGTATCTTACTATCTTTGCATGAATATTGATATGATCTATATTGACTCTACAAAATATTGAGTTGGGGTCAATTTTTATATTTTTGAACTAATTAACTTTTGTTGAGAAATTAGAGTTTTAGCTTAAATTAAGGGCCTATTATTATCATTTTTTTTTATCAAACCACGAGGTGTCCTTAGTAGGTTCTAACTGTAGGAGTCACCTTTAAGTCCATTTCTATGCTTCAACTGATCTCTGTTCGCACCGGACCGACTCAATTAAGGGACAAAGTACTGACCAGATTAATTTTCCATACGAGAAGGGGTTGATATTATTTGAGCTAACTGTGTGGCAAGAAAGGGCTACAAGAAGAACACTACCTAGTGCATGATAGTGCTCAAAGGAAATTGAGAAAAGTCCAAAGTGAAAGCTATTCACTCATCAAATGTCGATGTAGAGGCCATTGATGCATGTAAACTTTCACTTTATAGTCTATTCATTGACTTCATTTGTCCCATTTTATCAGTCATGTTTCTTATTAATGGGTCAAACCAACATTTTTTCTTTGCTCATTTTCATGAATATTTTTTCATTATTTTTAAATTTAATTTTTAATGTTTAAGAGTACTTTAAATGTAATTAATAAATATATAAATTTTATATACTAATACTAAGCTTAATATTGTAAAACAATTAAATTATATTTTATTAATACTCTCAGGCCAAAATTTTGTATTGAGAATCTGTTCTTCCTGACTTTGTTTAAAAACTTTTACATTCATCTATTCCTTGATTTTACTTAAAAAAAAAAAAACAAAATTATAAGTATCTCAATTAAGTCTCGTTAATCGAATCAAATATATAAAATTGTATTGGTGAGAGTAATTACTAATAATGGTTTGACGTGTAAACAAATCATCATAATAGAAGCTTTTTTTGTAACCCCAAAAACAAATCTTAATACAATGAATACAACACTACAAACGACTAATTAACACATCAAATTACATGATTAATAATAAACAGCGATTAATTATTCTGTAACAAATAACTAGGGAACAACAAATAATAGTTAGGGAGTCACGCAGTATGAGTCATGTGATGTTAGCTTAATTATACGAGTCCAAAATGAATTTGGATTAGCTTTAATTTTGAGTAAGGAGGAAAATCTGTAATTATTTTTAAAAGTATGCACTAGATATATTCTGCCTTGTAATTTTAATTGGTAAAAGACAATAATAAGATAAATCAACTTAATTACACATAAATAATAAGTTTAAACTAATAAGACCAATAATCACTCTATTAATAATAGAACTTGAAAGTTTATTGTTACAAAGCCAATAATTCAATCAACTTGGCCAGGTAATTTTAGGTCCTACCTGGAAAACATGCGATGGATCAGAACAAATTTGTCGGCGATCTACTACTGTTACACAACATTTTAATTATTATTGAGGAAAAAAAGGATCCTATGTGTAAACGTAATTAATGGACTGCAGTAGACATCATTATAGTATCATTACTGAAAGCTAAATATTGTGATTAGATTAGATGTGAAAATTACAGTGGCATCGTGACTTTAGAGGCTAAACAACTATTATGAAAATGATCTTTATTACCAAAAACAAAAATAATTTTGTGGAATTTAGTTATTTTAATTTACGGGACATAAAAAATGATTTTGTGGTCAAGCGATATGACAGTAGTTTTTCTAAATAGGGGGATCACACATCTGAACCTTAGTGGGAACATTGAATCTTTGTATATGGACAGATATTACATAGTAGTACTATATATATATATATATATATATATATATATATATATATATATATATATATATATATATATAAAGTAGAGTGTTTAATAGCAATTTATGTAGTTCGTTAACTAATTTTGTGAAATTTTACATTATAATAATATATTGCCGCATATAACAAAACTGTTACCATAGGCATGTTAAAGCAATACGATATATGAATGCAGAAGACATTATCATTGTTCATTGTAAGTGAAAGTTATACCATGAATCCAGGTCAACCTTGCAAGGTGAATCCGAATACACAATTTACATATTGAATGTTCATAATTTATTTTCTGCCCCGAAATGTTCCACTATGTACCACATCAGAAATCATTGGTCATATTTTTCAGTTTTCTGGGCCGGATAGCCTGGCCCAGCAAAAAGTAAATTAAATGAACCCAATATAGATTCATTTTTTAGTAATAGTGTGGATACAGTCAAAGACTTTGTGGTCAAACAGCATAACTGACTCTTTTAAATGAGAGGTTATAAATTCAAATCCCAGTGAAAAACACGCAAGCCAATAGTGCTAGTAGTAGTAGTAGTTAATAATAATGATGATGTTAGGGTGTCATCTAATCAATATTTAAACTTCCTACTTCAACTAAAAGCAGGTAGATTTTCAAAGTTTGGTTTTCCTACAAAGCTGCCCAAATTTTCTAACTCTGCTATTGCTTTTTATTTTTTTCTCCTACTTCAAATGAACTGACTAGAATCAAAATCAGTGTGAATATACAAATAGAAAAATTCTAAGGTATCAATAGACACTAGTGTCTTCTATACCGAGTATAATCATATACATTTTAAGGGTTTTTTGAAGTTGTTCGAGGTACAACGTGGACAATAGTGGAAATAAGAGTTGACGGTACTAAGGACAGAGCCACCTCGAATTTAAAAGGATGGTTATTTGAAAAACACAAGAACAAAGAATTACTTCCATAACAGCAAATCTCAATATGCAATGTTGATAAGACTACAAAATTTACAGATCCAAAATGAAAAGATAGATGTATCAAATGCACCATTGCAGCAGCATTACTGCTCATCACTCCTCACACTGACTAAAGCTCTTTCAGCACCCTCCTGTTGGTTGGTTATCCATGCCATCATTATCCGCTGCTTTCTGTAGAAATAAAGCAGAGGGACCATTAGACTGTATAAAAGTCGAACCAAAGTATGTGAAAGTATAATCAATATGATGCAGGATTGGTATTCATACTAATAACCAAAAATTTCATCTTATAAGTTGCTAGTTTAATCTAATAAATCATGCAATTTTCGGAAATAGCATCAAACAAGCAATTCTTTGAAGAAAGAAGTAAAAAAAATAATAATAAATTGACGGGATTGGTCCATTTTGGTAAGAAGTGCAAAGTGAAAGTTCTAATATCATATAATAGAGTTGTGCACTACCAGAAAAAGAAAATGAATAGGTTTGATTTGGTATTTGGTAACCTAAGGCATTGACATTGCTATTTGGTGTGGTCATACTGATAGTGAGGCATATATTATGTTTGATGATATACAGTTGCTAAGTTTGTTCAACCCCGATCCAAAATAATGATTTTGTTGGCTTATGGTCTACAAAGCAACATGCGTTAATATTCATAGTATAAACAATTATATAGACTACTATTAGGCAGACTGACAAGTTGAAACTTCAAAGGGGAAAAAGGAAAAAAGTAGTGCTAAGAGCTCTGAGCATACGTTTTCAGTTTGACCACGAGCAGTCATGAGTTCATAGAACTTGCGCATCAGCATTTCTTCCTCAACCTAAAAATATCATGCAAATGAAGATAATTACATAGATATTGAAGAAGACCAGAGGCAACTTATGACCGCAAATATCATGCAAATGACAGCGTTATTACTCTGCTTACACCATATCAGAAAGGCTCAAAGAAAATGCAAAAAACCATCCAAAACATTGTTGCTGGCATTTATTCCTTGATTTAGGAAATCCATTTCTTTAACTCAAACACTCAACCTTAGTCAATATACGTTGTAAGCAAAATCTTAAGACACCATCAAAGGGTAGATTCAATTATTCAAAGAGTCCAAAAGAAACAATTTTAAGCATTACAAGCTTTGCATAGAACCAGAACAAAGAACACAAAGTGCATACAGCCTCTAAAATGTTCAATCTTTTCTAAACAACTGATTGGTTGAGATTTGAGCAGAGTATATACACCCAAAACAGTGAATTTCTTCTCTTCCCCTATCCTATCAGCAAGCATACGGTTCTTAGCAATGAAGTCAATAATCAAAATGTGATTAGGAAATAAACTAACTGCATAGATTAACAAGATTACTTACTGAAAATTACAAAGATAAAACAGTGTTACAAAAATGGAATCACAAGATAACTAAGAGATTTTGAGCAAAACCTGAAGCGTATGCAATTCGTGCGACATGGAATTATAGGCTTCCATAAGGAGCTCGTATTCCTTCTCTAAATGTCTGCACCACACCACAGAATATCATCATCAGAAGATCAGACATCAAAGATTAACCCTAACCGTGAAAAAAACGAGAGTAAAGCAAATGCACTGTGAGATAAACAGTAAACGATAAACCCTTCAAATTCGACAATTACTTTAGCGTTTCTCCTGCGTATCTAGGATCCATCTCTGTTAGGAGTTTAATCTTCAAACAATTACCCTCTGAGTAAATTTTCGCCCAGAAATCTGCCCTCCCGGAGAAGAAGTCAATAAACAAAAGAACTCAAACCTTTGATTTTTACTACGACGTATAGGTTATCGGCACCGGAGATAAAGTCGGTTCGGATTTCCGGCGCTCTTTAAACGGTACAATCCAATAACAATAAACCTATAGGAATCGGGTCACAATTTTATTAATCCGGCCCAATTAAATAATACAGCACTGAGAGACTCAAAACCCTCGGGTCACAAATTTTCAAAATAAGGCCCATGAACTAAAACATGGGAGACCCAATCATATCTTAGCATAGTTACTGATTTAATCTCATTCGTTTATCTAAGAACTAAGATGATCGAATGTTAAAAATTAATTTTAAAAATCTAATAATATTTTTGTAAGTATTACGGTAGTGAGTTTATGTATTACTAGGTATATTTTTTAATATGAGTTTGTCTGTATTTATTCTTCCAAAAGGTTGAACTCCAACCCTAAGGGTCCCATACCCCAACCCAACAGAGCATTTGGGAGGATGTAAATCGTGGTAACTCAACTGATCTTTTCTTACTGCGCACAAGGAGTCCCCCTCACTTTGAGAGGTTGCTCCCACACTGCCGCTGGTGAGACGGTCATTCTTCCAACTTTTCACCTCTATGACCAGTTGAGTTGCCCATAATGGTTGAGTTTGTCTGTATTTATATTGAGCTTATTCGTTGTATTTAGAATTTTTTTTTTTGAGTGACGATATAAACCCATAGTCACTACTCACTATATAAGAGCGTGCATTAGGTAAATCTCGCTTTGTGACCTTAACCGATAAATTAAAGAATCACAAGAAGATAAACCAGTCTAAGTTACTCATAGTTGACTGACTCAAACTAAGAAAGTTAATATATCACTCGATCCCTTTGGAAGTTGAACTTGGAATATTTGGTAATATTTTCTAAAATAATAATACTTTGATTGTCTCGATTTAAATAGGAATATACTTGTGTAATTTATAAAACCACAAGTTATTTTTCTTTGCATAAATATAGATAACACTCAAATTTGTGTAATTTATAAAACCACAAGTTATTTTTCTTTGCATAAATATAGATAACACTCAAATTTAATGCACTTATATATTTATATAAAGTACTTAAATATCTACCATACTGAATCACATGAATGTTATTCGGTTCATTCAATTCCTAATAAAGGTTTATTCATATTATTTAAAATTAAAATATTTATTATTTAATTTAATATCGGTAGATAAAATTTATATTAAACAAAACAAAAAGAATTAAAAGAAAATAAGTAGAATTAAAAAGTTGATATTATCCCACAATGTATGAAGCATGCAATTGTCCATCCATAAAGTGATCCATGTTGTATTGCAACGTGGCATGCCACGTACAGATCCTATATTTTTAATCTAAAAAATAATGATAAGATGGATGATTAGTCCACCCTCATCCCCCACTAGAAATTTAGGTTTGATATTCTCATTAGAACATGATCAGATGTGTTGAAAGTGACCACTAAATTGATCCATGTCACAACTTAAAGTACCTTCATGAATGCCACCAGCCCACCATATCAATTATTTTCACATTTTTGTATTTCAACAACACTACATATAGGTGTAGATGAAATATTGTTGGTTTTTTCTAATTTAAATAGAAGTATCTGGTTCGAGCTTTACGAATCTGAGTTAATTTTATTTTTGGTTCTAGATTTATAGGTAATAGTCTATTTTTAATCATTTTTTATTAGAACATCTTCATTTAGTCCTAGTATTATATTGTGGCATGACCATTCTTAATCCTCATCCAACAAAATCATTGAAATTTCGTTAAATACAAAGACATTTCAATCTATTTTTATACAAAGTACGTTGAACCGCTATATTTTTTATGTTTATTTTTTTGAAAAACTCGTAATTGAAGACCGAAATACCCTAAAGGACAAAAAATGATCATGTCACAATAATACTAGAACCAAAAAATGGATGTTCTAATAAAAAATGACTTAAAGTGGATTGTCACCTATAAATCTAGGACCAAAAATGGAAATAACTCTTACGAACATATATCTACTTTAAAACTCAGCACGAATAGGATTAGTAACGATATGTGTAGTCCTAGTGCATCCTAAATGGGGGGAAAACACTTCATATAGTATCAAACGACCTACTATATGTGGTTTAAGTATGATGAATTTTTGAAAATTGGGTGGTTAAAAGGGTAGAGTATGATTTTTCATACCGAAAAATTACGAGTTTGATTGGCAACACCGATCTTCTTGGGCAACCCTGTTGCACAGAGTATTTGTTTGCGATGAAATTCATACATAGCATACCAAAAAATCTTGTAATCAAAATACTGGAAGCAAATTGACTTGATGGACCGATGATGACAGTGGAATAGTCAATTGTAGGTCGTAGTAAAATATTTTTTCCATAATCCCTCCAAAGTTGTCTCTAAAGGTGAAGGAAAAAATCCTTTCAATTCAAGAAAAAAATGTATTCTTTTGGAGATTTTAAGTCCAGTCAACATTCCAACCTATTTTTGATTAATGAAATCACTGTTATTTTCTCCCCAACTTCCCTTACCTAAAACCCCATATCATGTGATGAGGTAGCTCTGGAAGAGTGGTCAAGTAATTGAAACATGATTATTTTACTAGAACATTACGAGTTTAGATCTTTTCAACCCTTTTGGTGAAACCCGCCGCACAGGGTTTTCTCTTCTTCTTCTTTTTTTAATCTTTTTTTTGGTACCTAAGGTTTTCACTTGTTGAACGGTAGACACCTGTAATGAGTTAGACAACTGTCACAAACAGTCTTTATTGTAAGTTATTACATAAGAATTAAATTTATTTAATGTATACTTTCAAATAATAATTACGAATTTTCTTCGTTATCCAAAAATATTATGTAGGTTGTAGACAATGATTTTTATGACCACCATTGGTGGAATGGTGGGTAGGTCAATATTGGTAAGAGCATAAAGTTGAAAATTTTACATAAATTAAACCAAAGAAAAAGGGGATGCAGAGCTCGAGATTAGCTTAGTTTAATATTAATTATGGTAACTATTTAGCTAGGTGTAGTTAGGCAATTCAAGGTCAAAATATGCCTAACACCTTGTCTTTTTAACCTAAAATTATGGGACAAGACTTGTGTTCCCTCTTCATTAAGCCAAAAAGTGTCCTTAGTGTTTCATGGGATATATATGGCACATTATCCGTCTATGAGTTCTTTTGTTTGGTTTAATTAAACTATTATTAGTGACCTGTTGATCAACCAGACAGAATTTCTAACAATTGTCCATTCAAATTATTGACTTCTTATTTGTTTAGTATATATATATATATATATATATATATATATATATATATATATATTTTACAATGTCAATCAACACCATTATCTTGTGTATAATATACAATCACATATGATACTATATATAAGTTTAATTATTTGATTGCACAAATGCTGATAGTAAATGATACAATTTAAAGAAAAAAAAATTATATATTTTTAAACCCCTATTCAATAATTTTTTATGTATAATTGCATAAATATTTCTAGTCACACTTATTTTCCCTCTCAACCAATCTACCACCATAGCTTTACCTTCACAATTCACATGATCTTAGAAAGAGAAATATGTTATTTTCATGTCAAGCTAATGGGTCAACATCGTATATACTATATACAGTGAGTAAGAGTAATTTTGGTATGGATTATATTATACTAGCTGCATCATGTGAATGCCCAAAAGAGGTGGTTGAATGAGTAGTGCATAATTCTCGTATGAAAAGATCATAATTCTAATTTTTGTCTGTCTTTCTCGATCGAATTCGTCTCACATTGTTATTATTTTCAATGTAGTTTAATTTTCCTAAGCTACTACACATAAATGAGATTTATCCAATGTATAGTATACCCTTAGTGACTATAGATTTTTATCCGGATGATCGTTCCCAATTATAATGTGTATTCATGCTATGGTTGACAAGAGAAGCAAATTGTACTTCAAGAGAAGAGCACTTTTGAGAAGACACCATCCATTTAGAAATCGTACCTAAACAATGATGATTTTTTGGGGTATTATGATTTGTAATATTCTGCGGTCATATCGGTATTTGCTAAATATATCTTATAATATGAAGTTAAGCTATTATAATTGTAAAGACTTTACAAAGTTTAATATATATGTACTCTCCTTCAAATAGAGAGCGATGACAGACAACTTGTGACTTGTCACGTATTAAAGACGAAAGGACGCAGAACAAATAAGTGTGCAGTGTCACTATATATTGACATTGATTATTTTATTTACGATATTTGAAGAAATTAAATCTTAGTTAATCTAAACTAAACTTGATTTGCATTCAAAAAAAAAAAAAAAAAACTAAACTTGATTTATTTGGACGGAAGAGATGATGATTGGTCCTAAACAACAATGATAACCGAAGTGAAACCCCACAACAATCATTGATCACTAGCTGCATTCATTTTGCCACAAGAGGTGTAAAAAAGAGGCTATTGATTGCTCAATTGCACATTCTTTTTATGGAGCATGATGAAGACTTAAAGGTGACCCAAATGGTGCACCCAATTAACCCCCACAATCAGTTAATCTCGTGATTAATAACACCTATAACAATTATATAAAATTTTTGTAACCGAACAACATAAACCCGTCACCCTAAATAACAAGTCACACTACTGAAACACTTACTATACGTATACAAGTTAGGATGAGTATCTAAAATTCGATCTTGTGAGTATAATTAGCGTATTATTGTAATGATTAAGATTTGGGGATGGGAGAGATAGATGTGGGTGGGGTTTGATTGGTATATCCATCAAAAGATGGTTGCTGCAAAAGTAGTGTATTGTGTTCCATTAACATCGCAATCTATCTCAAATGGAAAGGAAAAGAAAAATGGAATGCAGAATCGCCTGGTACATAAAGCCAAAAAAAAAATAAAAAATTATAATAATAATAACGCCCTTTTTAGTAACATAATTAGCTTATAAATTAATTTTA